TGTCTGTGGCACCGCCTGAAGGGTGCGACTTCCATACCATATCTCCGAGAAACATGTCCCTTGCTTGCTCGAGGAAGTACTGCGGCGGCACGGTGGCGGCCATCGTGCTGGCAGAGCCTGGCACGAACCCCCCAGCGCGGCCGATGAACGAGAGGCCCGCGTCAGGTACCACCCCCCACCCTTGTGCAGATTTCCGTATTGCAGAAGCACATCGCTTCGCTTAGACGCAAGCATCGTCTGCGCATGGACGTCGGCAGAGATGTCCAGAGATCGATGGCGCTCGTGCTGGCGCCCGCGCATCTGTATGGCGCCAGCGGCGGCGAGACCACCTCCGCTGCAGGAGGAGAGGCTTTGGCCAGAGCTGGAACCGTCGGCTCGACTACGGGAGGCGAGACCCGAGTCACCGGCAGCGCTGAAGCCGCCGGGGCAGGAGTCGAGGCAGCCGCGCCGGGGGCCCGGGGAAGGGAAGGGGCGTTCTGGAAGGGATGCGGAAACGTCTGCGCAGAGCTGGCAGAGCCTGGCCCCTGCTTCGGGGTCGGCGCGATCGCCACTGCTGCGCCCCGGCTCCTCTCCGGAGCCCCCCGGCCCGGAGGCCGCCCATCCTCCGGCTCTTCTTCGAAGTCTGCCATGCGGGCGCCCACCTTTGCCAGCGACTCACGGCAGTAAGCGCGCTCCGGAAGGCGTTCTTCCCTTCGAACCACGTGGAGCAGGATCCGCCAGGCTTCCGCTTCCATGCCCTGCTGAGGCTTCTGAAAACAAGCCGTGGCCGCGTAGGGGGCGTCCTGGGTCTTTACGCGCTGATTGCGGGTAAGCTCGAACGCCAAGGACTTACCTGCGCACCCATCCACATGGACCAACGCGTTCTGCTCCATGTAGTGTAGTGGTTACTATGGTTGCGCTGCCTGCGAGCACACTCGGAAACTTGGCCAAGACGTCGAATAACTGCTGGTCGCTCATGACGCAGGCAGGGGCGAGCTTCACGAACGCCGCTCCAGATCCGTCGCCACACTTGAACTGGTGCACCTGCCTTCACGAACCACCATGTGGAGCCCAGTAGACAGAGCCCGGCGGCGCGGGGGCACTCGCGGACAGGCACGCGCCACCCGCGGACATCGCGAAGAGGCGGTGGAGCTGATTGTTCGTCAAGGTTGCTCGAGCCACTCAACTGCGGTAGCAATGATCGCCATCGCCGCGTTGATTGCAATGCCTGGGATGCTCGTTCGAGCGGCCTCTATGTCACTGTCGACCTCCTATCGCTCCCACAGTAGAAACACATACGTATCTCACAATCGATCTCACAAACGACCTCACACGGGATCCCACCATCGATCTCTCTGTAGATCTCACTATCAATCTCGTCATTGAACCCTATCTCTTTTTCTTTTAATATCACTATGGATATCACTATCGATTTTCCTATCGAATTCACGTCGATATCGCTACCGATCTCTTCATCGGTCGCAGAGTTGGTCTCACGATCGATCTCGCTATCGATCTCACAATCGGTGTTACGATCGATTTCACAAACGATCTCATCACAGATATCACTATCGATCTCCCTTTTGACCTCACTATCGATCTCATTATCGATCTCACTAACGCTGGGCACCCCCGCACCACCGACTGAGCACTCCCGCACCACCGGCGGGGCACCACCATCGATCCCACGATCGATTTCAATCTCGATACCACAGTCGATCTCAGCACATACCTCACTACCGATCTCACCAGTGACCTCATCATCGATCCCAAACGCTCGATCTCGCGATCGATCTCAGCATCGATCTCGCTGTCGATGTCAGCATCGCGCCACCGACGGGGCAACCGCGCCACCGACGGCGGCACCCCGCACCACCGGCGGGGCATCCCCCGCGCCACTGACGGAACACCCCCCGCACCACCGACGGGGCACCCGCCGCGCTATACCGGCGGGGCAACACCGGGGCACCCGCGCGCCCAGGAGAAGGAAGGGAAACGGTCAAACGTTATGTCGGGCGTGTCCCCCCCCCTACAGGCAGGGGGATTTTCGGCGAAAAATTGAAAAAATACTCCCCAAATGCCCCCCAAAGGCCCAAACATACTCAAAAAATGCTCCCTGGACAATTCTTGGCCTTTTTAAATAATTATTTTTAAGGGTATTTTTAATTTTTCGTCGAGAATCCCCCTGTAGGGGGACAGGCCCGACAAAAGTCAAACGGCTCCACGGCCTCTTAGTCACGGCGGCATCATTCTTGTCCCGCGCCCACGCAGCTCCGCCTCGCCCGCATGCACGACACGAACACGAAGCCCGAGCAAGCCGATTTCCTGTTTGGGGGGCTCTCCGCTTCACTGCGATCTCACCCCCCAAACTCCAACAGTTTCGGAGTTCCGCACGGGTTTCTCGGATCGGCGTTGGGCCCCCCCTGGCGCGCTCCGCGCGCCAAGGAGAGGGGTTCAGGACAGATCTCAGAAATCCGCGCGGATCTCCGAACGCTTGTACGCTTGTATGCTTATGTCGTTGTTTCTCCCCCCAGGGACTGAAAGTTTGCATGCTTATGTCGGTGTTTCTCCCTCCAGAAATCGGAGGCGCAGGTTTTGGTTATTTCAATTTTTGGGTGGCTGGTCTCGGGACGAAAAACTGCCTCTGGGGAGAGTATCGGGGTTTCTGGGTCCCCCGCTTCGGGGAAAATTCAAACCACCGGATATCTGGGCGATGGGTGCTACGAAACCCGAAGCAGACGGCACCCATCCCCACTCACAGCCGGTATGTCAATGTATCGGGGGGCGGTTTGAAGGAATCGTGGCAGCACCAACCCGTTCGACTCAACCGGCGCGATCTGTCAGCGCGCCATGTCAGGTCCGTCAAAGCAGCGCAAACGCAATGTGGCAGGGCGTGTAAGCAACGTGCCCCGTCAGAGGGCGAGGCGTGCATGCAATGCTGGTAGCCCCGCCCCCCGCCTTGTCCCTCTCCCCGCGCCTTCTTGTATAGCTTTGGAGCCTTCGGCGGGGTGTCGCTCCACTGCCCACTCCGTCACGAGGGAGAACGTTCCAGCGATTCGTGACGAGGACCCGGGGTGCGCTCCAGCACTCCAGCTTTGTCTCCCCGGGCGCGAGCGTCCCGGCAGCCCGCGGCACGGGCTCCAGCGCTGCACCCCTGCCCGAGGGCAGCACGCCCCGCACCCGCTCCCCCGGCAGGGACCCCCACTCCCGGCCGGGCGATCCAGGGGTCCCGGCTGCGGGTGGGGGTGGTCTTGTGGTCTTGTGGTGCTCTCAAGAGCACGAGGCTTGTCCGGGCGAAGGGTCCAGCCATGTTCAGTTGTGGGTATCACCGTTGTGGGTGTCGCCTTCGGTGGATGTCTTCATGGGGCCACGAAGCGTGTCAACGGTGTGCCGAACTGGGGCGGGGACGCCTGCGGACGCATCCACTGGGGCCTTCGGTGGCGTCCCATACGGGGCCACGAAACGTGTGAGGGGTGTGCCGAAATGGAGCGGGGCCGCCATGCGAACGTCGCCACTGGGGCCTTCGGTGGAGCTCCCTGTTGGACAACGAAATGCGTGAGGGGTATGCTGAAATGGGCGGGGGGAACATGCGAATGTCGCCACTGGGGCCTTCCGTGGAGCACCGTATGGGGCCACGAAGCGCGCGCGTGAGGGGTGTGCCACAATTGAGAGGGAAAACGCATGTGATCACAGCTACAGGGGCCTTCGGTGGAACTCCCTATGGGGCCACACAGCGCTGTACTGTGTGGCGCGGACGCATGTGATCACAGCCACTGGGGCCCTCGGTAGAGCTCCCCATGGCGCCACGAAACGCCGTACTGGGTGGCGCGGGACGCATGTGGCCACAGCCACTGGGGCCGTCGGTAACGCTCCCTATGGGGCCACGAAGCGCCGTACTGGGTGGCGTGGTCTCAGGTCCCCGTTTTGAGGCAGTAGGGATCATCGATCTGGGCGGTTTGGGTTGATATGTCTGTAGAAAAGACCCACTATCCCTCATGTTCTTGGCCATCCTAATTTAGGTCGTCACCCAAAGGGTTGGGGGTTCCTTTATACCTGAGCAGAAGAGGAGAAAGAGCAGTGTGCGGAAACGTAAGTCAAATGAGGGGGTAGGCTGTGCGACGCGGGCGGGGGAGCCTGTTCGAGCAGAGGCGAGCGAGGATGCCAGGAACGGATCGGCCAGCAGATGCGCCACATTACGTGGAAAAGAGGCTTTGCACATCTGTTGCAAATGAGGTCATTCTTGGGTCTGCGTTGGGGCTGTTCAAAGTGGCTAGTCGGCGCGACTTCGATGCAGGACCCTGGCATTTCTGGCTGACTGATGACGATTGTGCAGCTGTTCGAAGGCCTTCTCTCCAAGCTCTGAGCAGCGTCCCTGGGCTCAGAAGAGGCTGTGCTCTCAGGGCGCGTCAGACGGCGATGCAGGCCGCTTTGCGAGCCAGTAGCAGTGCGGAATGCGTGTAACAGGGATCCGCACATTAAAACATCCACAGCGAAATATGACATGATCTGGTGGTGTGTCTGTTTGAATGTGTGTGCGTGGGCTACGTTTCCTTGGGGACTCTTCGGGGTCGTTGCCATCTTCGATCGCCGTCCTCTACGCAGGTTGACAACCGACTTCGACGGAGCTCGTCCTAATATTAACCGCGGCTGTGGTGACACATCACCAGCTGAGTTGAAAGTGCGGACTCAGCTTGGCATGCCCAAGGCGGCATTCTCTTCAGTTGCCCCGCCCCTTCCCCCCGCAACATGTTGTTTCCTCTCAACGAGCAGTGGATTTGCCCACCAAAGGTGTAGAGAGGAGAAGGGCGGGGATGGGGGTGGTGGGGGCGCCTGGGTAGACCCCTGACCCAGCAGCAGGCGCAACCTCCTTCCCCATTCCGCCCAGCGATTATTGTGCGCACCGTCTTTTTCATTTGGTCTCGCCCATGCCCCTTGTCAGGTGCAACTCGGGAGGATCCTTGCTACGATGGCTGGTGTGCTCGAGAGCTGATTGTGAAGCGGCACGGTGTCCGAGAACATTTGGCCATAGGTCGCTGTAGGGACCGAAGCGAAGGTGACTGACTACCCGACCCTCCTGCCTAGCCTTTCCCTTCCCCCTTCCCCTTTGCCTTTCCCCCACTTTTCCTGCCCTCGTCGTCCCTTGCTCCTCCTTCCCTCGTCTCGTCGTCCTTCTTTTTGTTCCTTGCTATCCTTGTCGTCTCATTTTTCTCTCCTTTCAATTTTCTTCCCTCCGCTTTCTCTTCTCTGCCGCACCCATTCCCTTTCCCCGTGTTCTGTCTGCCCGCCCGCCGCCCCCTCCCTCCTCTCCTCTCGCGCTGGAGCGTGTGGTGGACAGCCACTCAGGAGGGGCCGCCGCTCTTTGACCCAGGCGTCGACGCATAGATGTAAGCTGTACGGGGAGTTTAACAGTGCATTCAACATCTTATTGCAGCCATGCTTTCTCTCGTACAGCTTCCAATTTCACCCCCCCGCAATTCTAGTTGGCACCGGAGCTGGGAACGATCCCAGCTTGCGATCCGCGGAACGTGCGAAGAGTGCGGTGTGGACGCGCATTCGCATTTACCTTCACTTCCGCATCGGTACCACCGTCCATTCCTTGAATAGCCTGTGCTTATGGCTGTTCTGCAACCAACAGGTCACTCGCCTCGGACATCCGGTCCGAACTCCGAGGGCAACAGACAAAGGCGCCATCGCCATGGCGAGCACCTCTGCCACAGGAACGCCACGACGTTCCTCGACCCATGGCGCCCTCAGGGGCACTGGCCGCAGCTTCCTGTCAGGCATAAGTGCGAGGCTCCTCCCTGGGCTAGCGCCGTGCCTCGGCACGTATGCGAGTGTTCTGGCTGCCTTTGTGATCGCACCGCGCTGTTAACATGCCAGTTTCACCGACCCTGGTTTCGACCAAAGTTGGCGGCATCATCGTGGCTGCCCCGCACTTGGACATGGCGTTCATCCCTGCGCAGGCCCGGGTCCCAAGGCGCCTGCGCAGCCGTCGCCGAGGAAACTCTCCATGTTGATGTTTTGGGGTTGCATCCTCGTATTTTTCGTGGCCGTCCTGTTCTGGCTCACCTCGCCGGCATGATGCCTGGCAGGGCCGGCCCGCAGAGGCGGCGGCGGCCGCGGCGCGATCACGTCCCGCCATCCGCCTTCATGGTCACCCTAGCGCGAGTCCGTGTATCCTTTCCGACACTGGGTACAGGACTTGCTCGTTTGGAGCGTGGTAACCACCGACACGGATAGCGCCACTCAGCGCGCTGCCGTCATCTTCAACCGCAGTGGGGCCGTTCGCGAGTTCGCGCGCTCCACGAGCTTCATGGCGATGACGGAGGGAGGCATGGTCAACGGCCAGCAAGAGGATGCCGTTACCTACCTCATCGCTAACCTCGCCGCACAGTTCGGTCAACTAGGTGAGGAGTCGCGCCTACAGGCAACCCGCGAACTCCTCGAGGTCTCGAGGCGACGCAACAAAACCACCGACGCTCTGCTCACCCTCTTTTCTTACTCTGCGATTTCGAGCTGCGCACAACCTTGAAGCTGCGATGTTTTGGGGCGGCTACAGCTGGCTGCTTCTCCGAGCGGTCGGCTTCTCAGCTAGCCAACTCATGGCGCTGCTCCAGCCCTACGGCAACCGATCCCAGCCACTGAGACCAAGTTCAACAGTCTCACCAGTCGCGTGGGACATATCGTGGAGCATGCGCCAAATACTATCGCCAGCGCTCTTCGTGCGCCGCCGTCTTTCGGAGGTTTCGCGGGCATGGCGAACGGCATCAGCAACGCCGCAACACGTGACCCCTGGCGCACTCAGAGTTTCGACCCTTGGGCTTCCAGCGCCGCCCTGCTTCCTGGGGCGGGGGGTGCCATGACGTGCGCTACCCGCCCGTCGCAGGGCGCCGCGCTATCGCAGGCGGCCCATCCAGCTGCCGCGCGGGCGCTCGCGAACGGGGCCGACTGCGACAGCGGGGCCTTGTCAGATGCCAGCTCAAACCCAGGCGGAGAGGTCACTTACCAAGCACCAGAGCTCCAAGGTCTCAGCTCTGCCCAGGTAGGTGCTCAGTTGCTCCTGGCAGATGGGGACTGCGAAGCGACAGTGGCGCAGACGCACGCAACGTCCCAGTCGCAAGGTGCGCAGGTTTCTTAAGAAGAGCAACGGCACCTTGTCCATGAAAAGACAAAGTCAATGTCAAGGGCTCCCAAAAGTACGCAGTCCTGATTGAGCTACCAGATGCTCAAGTAGATCAGGTCTTCTTCGACGGACAAGGACAGAGCAAGGCAAACGCTCGTCGGACAGGGGCAACGGCGGACGCCGCAATCCGCGAGGCTGAGACGGGGCCGTCATGACGTGTATCACCTTTGAGAGCGAGTACCACTTGCGTGCTGAGTGCCCGCGAGGCGCTGCGTCGCCACCACAGGGCAGCGGCACTGGCGGCCAGTTCGGGGGCCACGCAGACTCGTCCAGAACCGCGCGTGCACCGACGCGCCAGCTGTCCTGCTGCCACCTCAGATGTTCAGCATTCCAAAATTAACTCCAGGACCATGACAACTTCCGGTTCTGCCGCCGTTCCCTGGCACGGCCACCGCCGCCGCGGAGCTGGCGGCAGCAACCGGCGGAGTTCGTCTCTCCGTCAGCGCGCCGCGCAGGACTGCAGCTCTGGAGCCCCCGCGAGGTGGGCCCCATCGACCAACGAGCACTCCGTGCCGGCCGGGCCCAAGCGCCCGTTCTCGCAGTGCGCTCGCCATGTAGGCAGCGCGTGGTGGCGCGCGAGGTCTCTCGCATCCACGTCGCACCGCGCCCCGTGACGCGCCCGATGAGGGCGCGCCATCTGGCGCCGACGGGGCCCTGATCGCGCCGCGCGACGCACCAATAGGCGAGATCACCTTCAGCACACTTGCGCCCACCCGGGGGCGGCCGTCTGCTCAAGGCACACCGCGGGGCGGCGAAGCCGACGTGCTTCCCCGGTGGCCAGCCACCAGCTCAGCAGACGAGCGCGCCTCTCTGGGGCGTCGCAGTCGGGCCCAGCCCCCTTCGGGCGAGCTCAGCGTCATCGCGCGCGGACCGACGCCACGGGTGAGAAGCTCGCGCGTCAGCGGCGCCGCCGAGCCGTCGAGGCGGGGCGCCGGCCGCGGCAGCTCCCCGTGAGCAAGTCCTTGGGCATCCAGGGGGTTGGCAATGGGGCCCAAGTGTGCACGCGTAAGGCGAGCGCCCCCATTGCCGTTGCTGACGAACAGGGCGAGGCCACCGTTTATTGATTCACAGCGCCCATCGTCGAAGGAACGACCAGTTACCAGATTGGCCTGCTTGGCCCGCGCAGCGCGGGGCCCGCGCGCGCGATCCTTGGCGCGGGCCAGCGCGAGCTGATCATGCCTGGCGGCGGCGACGTCCAGATCCAAGGGTTCGCGGGCACGGCCCGTGTCCCACTGCGCAAGGCTCCTATCGGGCACCTGGCGATGGTCATCGTCGACTGAGAGAGGGCCGTGTAAGCCTCAGGCGATGCACCTGACCGCAGTGTTCAGCTGCGCGCCCGCGCCGACGAGGCGGAGCTGGAGACAGAGGACGCGACGCCAGCAGCTGTTTCCATCCAGGCAAGAGGTTGAGCAGCGGTCGACCCTCGGCTCTCAATGGGCCGAGGCCCCTTCAAGTGACGCCCCATCTCTCCTAGCAGTGGAACCATCGTCGTGACCCATCCGTGCTCTAGTGATAGAGCTCGCACCCACATTCGCCAGAGCTCTAGGGCAGCACGGATGGCATATGCGTGAGTTCCATTCTGCGGACATCACCTTTCCTCACTTCTCCGTTCGCCTTAGTGAAATCGCCCGACGCGAGTGCCAGCTGGTTGTGGCCATGGTGGCGCCTGGCCGTGTATCTCTCTTTGTCTCTCTCTCTCTCTCTCTCTCTCTCTCTCTCTCTCTCTCTATCTCTCTATATATATATATGTATGTATTTCTAGAGGGAACAAATACAACCGTGCCAGATATGGACTACATGAATACAACTGACGTGTCAGAGACACGACGTGCCCTGTGCTGCATGGGACTCGGCAAACATTCTGAGACGCCTCGTCGAGGTGGCTGCGGGCCCAGAAGTAGGCGTGATACTTCTCACCATCAGGTTCTGCCGACCTGCCCCCACACCAGAATCTGGCGACGATAGAACAGGAGGCCAGATTGCTGTGCGCATGTCCGACTGACTTGGTGCGCACCGAGCGCCCTTGCACTGGGCCGCGGGTCATTTCTCCGATGTGGAAGGCCCGTCGGTGTTCTCCCAGGCAAAGCGTATCCAGGCAGAAGTACTGGCACAACTCCAACAACGATATGAACTTTCGTTTGGCCCGAGCAGCGCCCGCTGCTGAGGCAGGGTCTAAGACTGTAGGATTGGCGAGGCGGCTTCGGCAATGTTGTCGAGCATCCAGCGCTCTCCACCATGGTCTGTTCGTCTGCGCGACAGTCCCGATTTCGGGCGCAAGTTCGACAGGATAGGATACTTGAGACTAGACTCAATATAAAAAGACAGCAAAACGACAATACTCACCGGACGACAAAGTCAACTGAAGGACGTGCCTTTGACGATTCAGAAGAAGCGAGTAGCCGCGCTACGAAAGGAGATATTTGGACCTCTGGCTTCAGTAATAGCACCGCGACACACGTCCGCGCGTTGCTCCGGGAGTGTTTTTTTCTACACCGTCGAAGACTTCGTGCCCAGTCCCCCTTGCATCGCTGGTCCATTGCCTCACTGGCAGATGGGGGAACATCTTGTATCGAGCTTCGACGCGAGCCCAGCGGCCTCGTCGTCAACGCCTCGAGCTGGAGACGGCGATCCCTTGCGCGTGAGGTTTTGCCGCGCGAGTTGACAGGCGGAGTCGCCGTCTTTGTTGCCCAGCTGGCTCCGTCATTTGCTCTCCCCCCGACGAGGCAGAGCGGGCCAAGACGCGCGAGGAACAAGGCCACGTGCCAGCCAAACGCCCCATGGAGGTAGAAGATACGTTCGACGGCGTCGGCGAGGACCGCAGTGGCCTTGGCGCGGAGGAGCAGCTCAGTGAGCGCGCCGGCGAGCTCTCAGTGGGCGAGCACCTGGCGGAATCGCTCGCAGCAGGG